ACTTAAATAAAATGAAAAATAATAGATAAAAATTAAATATTATTTGCATTATTAAATTTTAATTAAAAATATATATGTAGAAATATGTAGTGTATATATAGTTAATTTTAGAATTTCACCTTGATTTTTTAGTCTCACGTTACCTAAATACAATATGTTAGTATTATTTTTATCTATATAAGCTTTTTGATTCGCATGGGAAAAGAAGTCATGGTAAGTTGGGTCATGTGATAAAGCATTGTTGATGCTTGTTTAACTAAAATATATGAAATTTAAATTACTTTATTAATAAAAATATTTAATAATAAATTTATTAAATTATTTCATTTAATTAAATACGAACTGCCCGATTTTGCAAAACCAGTATCGGTTCTCCGGGTCGCCTGTTCAACCGCCAGTTCAAGCAATTCTCGGGCGGCTCAATGCCATTCCAATTTTACACATACCGAATCGGCCGGCTAGCCAGTTCCCAGTTCAACCAGTTGAACCAGCTAGTTTGATCCGATTTTAATAACCTAGTATTCAACCATAATAGTTAACAAAACTCCTTAGTTATTGCTTGATATTCCAATTCAGCAATGGATGTGGCCACCAAATTTTGTTTTGTACTTCTTCATGTTATAAGTTTCCCACCAATAAATGCAATATACAAAGGTTAATCTTTTATCCACAACAGACCCAACATAATTAGCATCTACTCTTGTCTCAAATACTTGACTAGTTGCTTTTAGCAAAATTCTCATCCCTTAAGTTCCTTCCAAGCACTCTAATACTTGATTTACAACTTGTGGATTTTCTTTGGATTGTGCATAAACTAGTTGATCCCAAGTTGTATATGATATTGTGCATAAACTAGTTGATATTGTCATTGAACACCACCGTCCGCCACCGCCAAGCACCGTCCCTTGCCACCACCCTCGCTACTGCCACTATCGACCACCACCATCGGCAACTGCAACCAAGCACCACCCGCCACCACCACTGTCGCCACACACCGCCAGCCACCACCGTCCACTACCGTCGGCCACCAGACCCACCACCACCGCCAATGTTGGTCACTTACCACCACCCTCTTTGCACTTTACATTGCATTTATTTTATTTTAAATAAACAAAAATCTCATGCATTACTTTTACACTCATCCAAAAAACTAAAAAAAATATTCCTTTTTCACCCAAACAAGCAACCTCT